CCAACAACAAACATTTCAAATCGAAGAAGAATGAGCAATCAATGGTCATTAATATCCCTCAGCATTAATGGCCTTAACTCACCCATAAAAAGACACAGGCTAGCAGAATGGATTTGAAGACAGATTCCATCCTTCTGCTGCATAAAAGAAACACACCTCACCCTCAAAGACAGACATTACCTTAGAGTTAAAGGTTGGGAAAATTTTTTCCATTCAAATGGACCCAAGAAACAAGCAGGGGTAGCAATCCTAATATCTAACAAATTAGACTTTAAAATAAAATCAATCAAAAGAGATGAAGGAGGTCATTACATACTCATCACAGGTGAAATTCACCAAGATGAAGTGTCTATCCTGAACATCTATGCCCCAAATACAAAGGTGTCCACATTCGTAAAAGAAACATTGCTAAAACTTAAATCACATATAAAGCCCCACACAGATATAGTGGGAGATTTCAACACACCACTCTCACCAATAGACAGGAATACCAAACAGAAACTCAACAAAGAAGCAAAGGGTCTAATAGAAGTAATGACCCAACTGGGATTAACAGACATCTATAGAACATTTCATCCACATAAAAAAGAATATACCTTCTTCTCACCACCACATGGAACTTTCTCAAAAATCGACCACATACTTGGCAACATATCCAACCACAGCAGCATCAAAAATATTGGAATAACTCCATGCATCTTATCAGACCACCATGCTTTAAAATTAGAATTCAACAACAACACAGATTGCAGAAAAACTACAAACTAATGGAAATTGAATAATGCACAACTGCACCACTCCTGGGTCAAAGAAGAAATAAAAAAGAAATTAAAGACGTCCTAGAATTCAATGAGAATGAAGGCAAAACATACCCAAACCTATGGGACACATTGAAAGCAGTGCTACTGGGGAAGTTCATAGCATTAAGTGCCCACATGAAGAAACTGGAGAATAGTTATACTATAGAATTTACAGCACAGCTGAAAGCTCTAGAACACAAAGAAGCAGGAGGAGTAGATGCCAGGAAATAATCAAATTGAGGACTGAAAGCAATGAAGTGGGAACTAGGAAAATAACACATAGAATCAATGCAACCAAGAGTTGGTTCTTTGAGAAAATCAACAAGATAGACAAACCTTTGTCCAAACGTACCAAACAGCAGAGAGTGAACATGCAAATTAACAAAATCAGAAATGAAAAGGGGGACATAACAACGGACTCTGAGGAAATTCAGAGAATCATCAGGTCATACTTTGAAAACCTGTACTCCACAAAATTTGAAAATTTAAAGGAAATGGACGACTTCCTGGATAGGTATGACTTGCCAAATTTAAATCAAGAACAGATAAGCAATTTAAATAGACCTATAACCCCTATGGAAATAGAAGCAGTCATCAAAAGTCCACCAACCAAAATAAGTCCATGTCCAGATGGCCTCAGTGCAGAATTCTACCAGAAATTCAAAGAACAGCTTTTACCAATTCTTCTCAAAGTATTCCACACAATAGAAGCAGAAGGGTCTTTGCCAAACTCTTTCTATGAGGCTTCAATAACCTTGATCCCCAAGCCACACAAAGACAAAACTAAGAAAGAGAACTTCAGACCAATATCCCTCATGAACATTGATGCAAAAATACTCCATAAAATAATGGCAAATCCGATCCAAGAACACATCAAAACAATCATTAACCACAATCAAGTAGGTTTCATCCCAGGGTTGCAGGGATGGTTCAACATATGAAAATCCATCAAGGAGCCCTTCCAAGCCCTAAACCCCAGCGAGTCCAGCTTCAGGAGAGATTGGGTCTCCGGCAGGGACCCCCTGCCCAACACCCATCCCTTTGATCTTCCGGGGCCGCACCTGGCATCCAGAAGACCTGCCCACACAGGAAAGACATCAGCCCTTCAAGCACCAAACCCCAGCGAGCCCAACTGCAGGAAAGACATCAGCCCTTCCAGGCCCCAAGCTCCGGCAACCACAGCTTCAGCTTAAGCTTCAGTGTCAGCATCCCCAGTTTCAGCTTCAGGAAGGAAGGAGACCAGTGGAGATGGAATGACCCCACCAGCACCCACTGGAAGGAGAGATGGGAAGAAGACAGAATAAGAGCTCACTCAGCAATAGAACGACCAACATGACCCAACCAGAATCTAGGGATCCAACACCAGCAAGACCCGAAAAGCACTACATAGATGAAGAAGAAGAGACAGACCTTAAAAATGATTTCATGAAGATGATAGAGACCCTCAAAGAAGAAACGAGGAAATCCCGTAAAGAAATTGAAGAAAAAACAAACAGAAAAATCCATGAAATGGGGGAAAATACAAGAAATAACAAATCTCTCAAAGAATCTAAAGAGCACCAAGAAAAAACAACCAAAAAAAAATGAAGGAAACAACTCAAACAGTTGAAGGATTGAAAGCTGAAATAGAAACGATAAAGAAAACACAGAATGAAGGGATGCTGGAAATAGAAAAGCTGGGTAAACGATCAGGAACTACAGAAGCAAAGTATCACCAATAGAATACAAGAGATAGAGGAGAGAATCTCAGCTGTTGAAGACTCATTAGAGGATATAGAGTCGTCCACCAAAGAAAATCTCAAAACCAACAAATCCTTAACACAAAATATCCAGGAAATATGGGACACCGTGAAGAAGCCAAACCTGAAAATAATAGGTATAGAAGAAGGTGAAGAAATACAACTCAAAGGTACAGAAAACATATTCAACAAAATCATAGAAGAAAACTTCCCTAATGTAAAGAAAAATATGCTTATGAAAATACAAGAATCTTACAGAACACCAAATAGGCTGGACCAGAAAAAGAAGTCACCTCACCATATAATAATCAAAACATCAAACCTACAGAGTAAAGAAAAAATATTAAGAGCAGCTAAAGAAAAAGGCCAAGTAACATACAAAGGCAGACCTATCCGAATTACACCTGACTTCTCAATGGAAACGATGAAAGCCAGAAGATCCTGGACAGATGTCCTACAAACGCTAAGGGAACAAGGATGCCAGCCCAGACTACTATATCCAGCAAAGCTCTCAATTACCATAGATTGAGAAAACAAAATATTCCATGACAAAGCCAGATTTAAACAATACGTATCCATGAATGCAGCTCTACAGAAAGTGCTAGAAGTAAAACCTAGATCCAAGGAAGATAACTACATTCACAAAGACACAGACAATATATAATCCCACTTTACAAAACACCAAAAGAAAAAGGGAGGAGAAACTACACAAAATAAATTCACTAACAATAAATCAAGCACAAATAAGAATCATCAATCAATGGTCATTAATATCCCTCAATGTCAATGCCCTCAACTTGCCTATAAAAAGACACAGACTAGCAGAATGGATACGAAGACAGAACCCTTCCTTCTGCTGCATACAAGAAACACATCTCAGCACCAAAGAGAGACGTTATCTCAGAGTTAAGGGTTGGGAAAAGATCTTCCAATCAAATGGTCCCAAGAAACAAGCAGGTGTAGCAATCCTAATATCTAACAAACTAGACTTCAAATTAAAATCAATCAAAAGAGATGAAGAAGGACACTTCATATTCATCAAAGGAAAAGTTCATCAAGATGAAATCTCAATTTTAAACATCTACGCCCCAAATACAAAGGCACCTACATTCGTGAAAGAAACACTACTAAAGCTCAAAATGCCCTGGGTTTGGGATTTCGATTTTCTTAAGCGAAAAGAAGGTATAATCAACAACAAGATACACAATGTCTGTGAAGTAAAACAGAAAATGCTAATATCTCCCCCATGGCTGTAAGGCCAGGATAATCACTGACCTTTCCTTGGGCTGCAGATGAAAGTGTGTGTTTGATTAGATTACTCCCAGTCAACATTTTCTTTTGACCCTTCTTCCTCACTGCTGTATTTCATAGAGATACCCTCCCCCAGTCAGCTAAGCAGCTGAATCTTGACCTGTAGTGGACCGCAGTATGCAGGACCCTGAGGGTGATCATATGGGCTGTGACTAAGTAGCCCCTGGCCTCAGGAGCTCCTGGCCATCTCAGGCGAGGAGATCTCAGGCAGGAGAACGTATCTTGGAGCCTCAGTGAAGGGTTTAAGGTGCCAACCCATAACTTATAGTGGCCTCTGGGACCTGCCTACAAGCCAGTATACTGGTGCAGAGGGGCTTTTATGCCATCCAACTAGTGAGAAATCCGTATCTCCTGCACGCCATCTCTGTCAACACTTGGCACTTTCCTTTGTGTGGTTTCTTGGTTTGTTTTGTTTTACTCCCTAAGAAAGACTGAAAATTGACCAGGTGGTGGGGGCTTATGATTTTAATTTCAGCTTCAGGTAGGCAGGGCAGATAGGCCTCTGTGAGTTAGAGGCCACCTTGATCTACAGAGCTGGTTCCAAGACAGCCAGAACTACACATAGATAAACCCTGTCTCAAAAATGAAAAGAATAATAATAAACAAAGAGGGAGAAGGAGGTCTAGAAATAATGTAAATTTCACAAAATGGTTAAAATTATAATCATGAAATTATAACTATAATAAAAATTATGATGAAATAATTATAATTATAATGCAAAATTATAAGGAAATAATTATAATTATAATCAAAAAAATTTTAAATAGTGTTCATCATGTACTGGAGCTAAATCCTATGCTAGGGTTCTCTGGAATTTACTTTGTGGTGTAAACTGTCATGATTTCCTTCACTAATCCTCCTGCCTCCTACTCCAAAATGAAAATATAAAAACACTAAGAAAATGCTACTTTTGTGTTTGTTTCAGAAGCAAGATCTCTTGTGGCCCATACTGACTGTACCAGCTTGTTTGGTGTATCAGCTTGATGAAAGTTAGAGTCATCAGTGGGGAAGGAGTCTCAGCTGAGGAAATTCATCCCTGAGTCCAGCTGTAAGGCATTTTCTCAAATAGTGATCTATGGGGGGAGGGGCCAAAGCATGGAGTTCCTGGCCTTCTATAAGAAAGCAGGTTGAACAAGCCAGGGAAACAAGCCAGTAAGAGCACCTCTTCACGGCCTCTGCAGGAAGCTCTGGTCTCCAGTTCCCTGCCCAGTTTGAGTTCCTGTCCTAGCTTCCTTCAATGGTGAATGGCAATATAGAAGAGTAAGTTGAATAAGCCTCTTCCATCCCAAATTTCATTTTTGGTCATGGTGTTTCAGCTCAGCTTTCGAAACCCTAAGTAAGACAATTTGGTACTGGTATACCGGGCTATTGCTGTGACAGGCCTGACCATGTCTTGGGGAGGATTGTGGAAGGACTTTGGAACTTTGGGCTGAAACAGTCATTGAATGCTAAGAGCTCAGTCGCATGTTCTTTATGAGCCTGGGAAGTAAGAATGTTGAGAGCAGTGTAGACGATGGAGGACTGGCTGGTGAGGTTTCAGAGGGAATCTTAAAGTCTCTATCAGAGTCATTTGCTATTTTGAATTAAGATTGTGTGATTCTGGTTCAGTGGGGCCCAAGAATCGGTTGTGATTAACAAGGCACCAGAACTACTAAATTGAAACTTTGCTTTGCTGGTGTACTTGATGCTGCTCAGCTAGAGCTAAGAAGTTAGTGGTGATTAAGAAGAGACCAGAGGGCTGGGTAGTGGTGGCACACTCCTTTAATGTCAGTACTTGGGAGGCAGATACGGGTGGATATCTGTGAGTTTGAGACCAGCCTGGTCTACAAGAGCTAGTTCCAAGATAGGCTCCAAAGCCACACAGGGAACTCCTGTCTCAAAAAGTCAGAAACAAAAGTTACTCAAGTGAAATCTTCTGGGAAGTGTGTCTCGAGAGCATTGAAAATCTGTGTTCCAGAGTCAGCCAAGGTTGTACCATATGCTGGCAGCCAGACTTTTATTATGAGTAAGAGTCACCTAGGTAGTACTGGGTTTTGAAGGCATGAAGGGGTCATGGAGAGCAGCTGAGGGTTGGCACTGTGAGAAGGTAGGAGAGGCAATTGGTGAAGGTACAACCTCACTGTTAGCTGAAGGCCTGGGACTGAAGGGGTCAAACAAAAACTGAGGCTTGGCACCATGAAGAGAGCCTATGAGAGGCTATTGGTAAAAGTTCTGGCCAGTTGCAACATTTTGGAGATGCCAGTAGAACAAGGAAAGACCACCAAGAACAGGAGTAGAGGAGTGGAGTGGAGCCATCTTGAGCCTAGAATACAAGCTGTGTTTGCTGCAGAGGGCAGAACCTGAGAAATGAGCCACCTCTTTGAAGGAGTCTAGAAGATCATGAGTAGAACACAGACATTGGACAGTTGGAATTTATTCTGCTTTGATTTTATTGTGACAGTGCTGCATTTTTCACTCCTGAAATAAAGAATTTTTTGGCACCCACAGTTCAGACTTTAGATTTTAAAAGAAATTGTTTGAATTTGTAAGATTGTGGAACACTTAAAGTTTGAGTTTTATTGTGAGATCTGGGGGATGAATAAGAATAACTTGTGGCTTAATAATGTTTGTGTGTCAAGTTGACAAGAAGTCTGTTGTAGTGGCTGGTTTCATGCGTCAATTTGACATAAGCTGGAGTCATCAGAAGATGATGAAGCGCTAAGGTAACGAATTAATGAGGTCCAGCTGTAGGACATTCTCAATTACTGATCAATTAGCCCCTGGTGAGTGGTACCAGACTTTGGCTTATGACCCTGGACTCTATAAGAAAGCAGGCTAACAAATCCAGGGAAATCAGGCCAGTAAGCCATATCCCTCCATGGCTTCTGCATCAGATCCTGCCTTCAGGATCCTGCTCTATTTGAGTTCCTGTCCTGACTTCCTCAGTCATGAACAGGAATAAGGAAACGCGAGGCTGAAAAAACACTTTCCTCCTGAACTTGCTTTTTGGTGATGACATTTTATCGAAGCAACAGAAACCCTAAGACACATGAGCTTGTTCTCTGCCTGAGCTGGTGTGTGTGGGGAGAGCAAGATAGAGATGGCTGCCCAGATGGAGGTAGCATGAATGGTGTAGGGAGATGGAGGTAAAGGTAGGGGAAGGGGAAAGGAACAGAGCAATAAGGGCAAAGTGGATACAGACTCAGGGGAGGGAGAGGAGGTAGGAAGAGGAGAATAGAAGGGAGACATGGGAGGGGGAGAGAAGGGAATGAGAAGAGGTGGGAGAGGAAGGAGCAGCCTTCTACTTTTATAATGGGTGACACTGTTTCTCCCTACTCAAGAAAATCCTGACAAGGACTCCCATCTGAGAGCTAACTTTCTCCACCTGGTCTAGCCAGCAGACATCCTGAGCTGTGGTATTTGGACCAGGAGGCTGCTTTCAGGAGGCTGGCTCAAACAGGACTTAGCAGTGTCTTCCCAAGCTGTTCCAGTTAAGATCAAGTAATACATAATGTCATCTAATCCAATTAGCAGGTTCAGAGGAAAACTGGATATTGTGGTGTGAAATTCCATCACATGACAAGAACAGGTGTCCTGCTAATGGCCATCACACATTGATTCCCTTTTGTGTTTCCACCACCACAGCATATTCAAACTGGGCCTTAGAGACTTGAAGCTGGTGCATTCTGGGAGTATTTCCCTTTAAGAACGATTAATGCCATCAAACTCTGTTCAGCAAAATGCTTAAGTGAAATACTACTATCACATCATAACAATCTCAGTGAACCCTCAAACATTGCAAAGCACTCCTGTGCTTTTAACCAGCCACATTAAGAAACATCTGATAAGGACTCCAACCTCAGAATAAACTGTCTCCCTCTGTTCTATCCAGCAGATTCTCCGAGATGTGGAATCTGGACATTCACACGCCAGGCAGGAGTTGGTTTCCAGGATGCTGGCTCAATGGAATTGAAAAGTTGCTTCACAGGTAGCTTACAAGGTCCATGATATCATCTAACCCAATTAGCAGATTGAGGAAAAGACTGGATACTGAAGACATGAGAAGTGCGTCCAGAATTAAGGGGGGAAGGCACACCTCTAATCTGGGTCACATCTCTACATGTCTCCATTACTAGTTAAGTGGAGCTACAGGGCCACAACAGGTTTTTTCCAAGGGAAAATTCAATTATAAAACCAGCAGCAGTTATACATCAGTACTTGGACCATTTACAGGGAAATACTTTCAGTGAGTTGAGAAAAGAGTAGATAGCCAGCACAGAAAATGCTTTTGGGTGGCTGTGCTTTAGATGTACATATCCTTAGGGGCCACAGAAGAAAGGTCAGAACCTTTCCTTCCACCACACCTTCTGTGTGTGGATAGGAGGTAGAAGCCTGCAGGACTTGCCCATACACACCAAAACATTAACTTTGCCCTGCCATTCCATCTAATGCTTGCTATCTAATCCAATTATTTTTGGCTATTGAGATATTCGTCAATGCCAGTGACCTTCAAATTGTCTGTTTTCTCAGAATTTACCAATGAGAGGAGCTAGCATTTGACCAACTCACCCACCAAGCACATTAATGAAGGAGCTATACCCTAAAGTAATTTTCTAATCACTGATAGTAACGTTTCTATAGTGCTATCAGTCAGGGAAACATAATGAGAGTCTATAGGGCAGTCGTAGACATGGGAGTGGAGGGGTGGACACAGGGAGAGACAGAGACAGTGATGGAGAATGAGATAAAGAGGCTATTTCTTTTGAAATGATGGTGGTTAATTTCCTGGGGTAAAAGTGAGATATAGCAAATAATTAGAGTTATCCCATTGGAAAATATATATTTCGGATACATGAGGTACTGAAATAATGAGAAAAGAATGAGATTCTTAGAAACTACGAGGACATGAATTGGAAAATATGGGGCAACAGCATGGGATTTGGAAGCGGTGAAGGAAGGCGGTAAACCATGAAGACTAAATACTTCAGTTTAAAATAAGAGAATATGAGGAGACCAGTGTTCATGGAGTAGAGTCTCAGGTCCTCGGTCAGGGTTTTCTGGTATTTGCTTTGTAGCATAGACTGAAATGCACAATTACCCCATCAATCCTCCTGCCTAGAAAGAAATAACATGAATGTCTAGATAGCACCAAGAAAATGCTACTTTTGTGTCAGTTTCTGGGATGAGTTCTCTTGTGGCCAAAACTGACCTTGAGCTTGGATTCTGCCTGGGCTGCTTGGAGCTGCTGAGCACTGTGCCTTTCCCTCCAAGGGGCTGAAGACAGTGGTCTGAGCAGACAGCCTGGCCTCAACTGTGGGGTATATGGTAGTTCTCATTTGGCAGAATTTTTATTCTTAAACTTTTACATTTTCATATCAGTTTCCCCGCCCACCTCTCTTCCCCTTCCTTCCCTACCTCCCTTCTATGCCACCTTATCCATTCCTCTGTTCAAAAAGGGGCAAGCCTCCCATGGGAATCAACAAAGCAGGTCCTATCATGTTGAGGCAGGACAAAGGTCCCGGTTCCACATCAAAGCTGACCAAGGCTTCCCTGCTTAAGGAATATATTCTAAAACTCCATCTCTTGTATCAGGAACAGGTACTGATTCCACTGCTAGGGAGACTACAGACCAAGCTACACAACTGTCATCCCAATGCAGAGGGCCTAGGTCACTCCCATGCACCTACTTAGCTGCTAGTATATAGAATTCTTGAGCTCCCATTAGCTCAGGCCAAAGGTTTCTGTGATTTCATTATTGTGGTCTTAAACTCCCTTCCTTGTACAATCCCTCCTGTCTTGTCAACTGAACTCCAGAGCTCAGCCCAGTGCTTGCCTGTAGATCTCTGCATTTGCTTCCATCAGTTACTGGATGAAGGCTCTCTGTTGACAATTGGGATAGTCAACAATATGATTCCAGGGGAAGGCCAGTTCGGGTACCCTTTCCACTATTAAGAGTCTTAGCTGGAGTCATCCTTACAGATTCCTGGGATGTTCCCTTGCACCAGGTTTATAACCCAAATTTGTCCCCTCTGTTAAGATATTTCTTTCTTTGCTCTCTCCCTCCATCCCACCCTGAAGTTGACCAATCCAATCCCTCATGTTCCCCTCCTTCCATCCCCTCCCCTATCCAAACTTCAGTCCCACTCCCAGTATACCCAGGAGATCTCATCTATTTCCCCTTCCCTGGGAAACCCATGCATCCCTTTTAGGGTCCTCATTGTTACCTAGCTTCTCTGGGCCTGTGGATTGTAACCTGGTTATCCTTTGCTTTATATCCAATATCCACTCATGTGTGAGTAATACTGTGTTTGTCTTTCTGGGTCTGGCTCATCTCACTTGATGGAACCAGGAAAAGTATCCCATTAGCCTGCATCATGTCATTTCTTCCCACTGAATATTGCTCTATTGTGTAAATGCCCCACATCTTTATCCATTATGGTTCCAGGTTCTCGCTATTACAATTAATGCTGCTATGAACATGGTTAAGCTAGTGTCCTTATGGTATGGTTGGGCATCCTTTGGCTATATGGCCAAAAGTGATATCACTGGGTCTTGAGATAAATGGATTCTCACTTTTCTGAGAAACCGCCATATTGATTTCCAAAGTGGATGTTCAAGTTTGCACTCCACCAGCAGTGAATGAGTGTTCCCCTTACTCTTGATTCTCTCCAACATAGGCTGTCATTAGCATTTTTTGATCTTAGAAACTCTGATAGATATAAGATGGTTTTTCAGTCATTTTAATTTGATAGCTAAAGCTGTTGATCAGTTAAGTGAATCTCAGCCATTTGAGTTCTTCTGTTGAGAATTCTGTTTATATTTGCCCACCATTATTAATTGGATTATTTGGTACCTTGATGTCTAGGTTGTTTATTTTGGACATCAGCCCTCTGTTAGATGTAGGATTTTCACATTCTGTAGGTGGCTGTTTTGTCCCATTGACAGTGTCCTTTGCCTTACAAAAGCTTTTCAGTTTCAGGAGGTCCCATTTATTGTCAGTCTGTGCTTCTGATGTTATATTTAGGAAGTTGTCTCCTATACCAATGCGTTCAAGGGAACTTGCCTCTTTCTCTTCTATCAGGTTCAGAGTAAACGGATTTATGTTAAAGTCTTTGATCCATTTGGACTTGAGTTTTGTGCAAGGTGATAAACAATTATTTTCGTCCTTCTACATACTGACATCCAGTTATGCCAGCACCATTTGTGAAGAGGCTTTCTTTTTTCCATTGTACAATTTTGTTGGCTTTGTCAAAATTCAGGTGTTATATTTATGTGGGTTTATATCTGGGTCTTCATTTTGATTCCATTGATCTGTCTGTTCTTGTGCCAATACCATGCTGTTTTTATTACTATAGCTAGCTCTATAGTAGCTCTTGAAATCAGGGTAGGTGATACCTCCTAAATTTCTTTTACTACACAGCATTGTTTAAGCTGTACTGATTTTATTGGTTTTCCATATGAAGTTGAGCATCTTTCTTTTGAAGTCTGAAGAATTGTTGGTATTTTGATTGGGAATGCATTGAATCTGTAGATTGCTTATGGTAAGATAGCTGTTTTTACTATGATAATCCTACCGATCCATGAGCATGGGAGATCTTTCCATCTTCTGATACCTTCAAATTTTTTCTTCAATGACTTTTCATACAGGTCTTTTACTTTTTTGGTTAGTTATCCAAAAATATTTTATATTTGTGGTTACTGTAAAGGGTGTTTCTCTGTCTTTCTCAGTCCACTTATCATTTGTACATAGGTGTGCTATTGGTATTTTTTAGGTATTTATCAGCTGTAGGCGTTCCCTTACAGAATTTTTGGGGTCACCAATGTATATAATCATATCAGTAAATAGTGAGTTTTGCCTGTTTTACAATTTGTATCCCCTGGATTTCCTTTTCTTGCTTTATTGCTTTAGCTAGGACTTGGAGTAGTATATTGAGTAGATATGGAGGTGTGGGCAGACTTATCTTGTTCCTGATTTTGGTGGAATTACTGAGTTTCTCTCTATTTAATCTGATGTTGGCTGTCAGTTTGCTGTTTGTTGCTGTTATGTTTAGGTTTTTTCCTCTATCCCTGATCTCTCCAAACCTTTCATGAAGGGGTGCTGGATTTTGTGGAAGACCTTTTCAGCAACAATGAGATGGTCACGTGGCATTTTTTCCTTCCATTTTATGTAGTAGGTTACATTGACAGATTTCCATATGTTGAACCATCCCTTCATCTCTAGTATGAAACCTATGCGATCATGGTGGATGACTTATGTGTTCTTGTATGCGGTGTGCCAGTATTTAACTGAATATTTTTTGGTTGTTTTTTTTTTTGGTCAATGGTCATGAGGGAGAATGGTCTATAATTCCTTTATTGCATCTGTATGTGTTTTGGATATTAGGGTATCAGTGGCCTCATAAGAATTTGGAAATGTTCCTTCTGGTTCTATAGTTTGGAACAATTGTGGAGTATTGGTATTTGCTCTTTTTTAAACTCTCATACTTGTTTATATTGGTCTGTACCTTCTTTCATGCTGCTAAGAGAACTTAATGTTTTCATTGGGCATTCAGATGGGCAAAGGAAATTACCATTTCAAACTCAGGAGAACTTAAGTGTTTGTGTTGTATCCTGTCAGGGGATACATTCCTATATTTTAAAAATGTATTGGTCTTGATTTAAATTTGGTACGTGGTACATATCAAAAAATTGTCTCAGATTTTCCAATGTCATTAATTTTGGATATTCTCTCACACTTGGCAGATTTTGAAGTGGGACCAGTTCATCCATCAAGCTTATTGCCAGCCAGCAGGCTGAGAGCACATGAGGGTCCACCAATGGGGATAATGGGCATACAGGCTCGGATAGTGTGACTCAAGGTTGAAACTAAAACCATAACAATTAAGATCACTAGAAAGTGAAGAAGAGTGGAGCAAGAAGCAAAAGAACTATTGGATGAGGCAAGAGTTGATCTAGAGATGAATGCAACTGAGAGCCAAGGAGGAACAGAGCATGTGCAGCACCGACTAGGAGGGGGGAGGACTGACATCATGATACAAAGAGGATCCAGCAGGGAATTCCTAAAGTTACCTGAGCTGATGTTGGTTGGGAGCACAAACCTATGCAAAGATAGCCCTCACCCAGCCAAGAAACTCAAGACAAATCACTGAAGCCTACTAGTCAGCAAGGAGATCCAAGCTGTTGAACTTCCAGTCAGTGTGAGAGACTTTCAGAAGATTATAAGTTGCAAGAAAGGAGAGGCACCCAGGCCCTAGACTGGGTGTTGACATGAAGAGCTTTAAGGCAAATAGAGCAGGGTAGAGAATCTCTGACAGGGTTTGTAATGTGCTGCTCTCAATGATGTGTCCCATACCAAGATTAAGATGAGGTTCAGGGGCAGGAAACTGACCATGAAGGAAACCTTGCATGGGATTCAAGAAGCAGCCAGTGGAGTCCTAGAACTGAGGCAACGATCATGGCTTTGCTTAACACTAGACTGACATGACATTGTGGTGGCGTGTGCAGAGTGTCTGTATGGCACCACTGATGAGTTAGGCAGATGCCACTTGCTTTTGTGGATTGCTATTAAAACATAGACAGGGCAAAAACCCACACAGGCATGATTTAGAGGACAATTCTAATGCCAAAAGTTGAAAGCAACATATGGTATGGCATCTAGAAGATAGTTAGGAATATGGGGCTTAGTGAAAGAACAATTACAGGTCAATACAAAGAAAAGGGAGATGACAGGTGACTTGCTTCAGAGTGCTTCTCAGCAGCACACTCCAGTGTCCAGAGACCAGGCAGATGTGAGGCTACTCACATGGAGATGTGAGTCCAGCCTGGAGAGGGGTTTTCAGTGTTTCAGCTCTTTGGATGTGAACCTGACAGTTTTCAGTCACCTACCCAGTGCATTCTTCAGAGGAACCCAGTAATCCACAGATTCTTTTCACTTCCCAAAAGTCCATCTTGTTGGGATCCTGAAGGATCTAGGCAGTCTCAGCAGGGAGGTGGTATCTTCTTTGCAGGTGAAGGCTCACTCCCCATTCCTGTCCTCTGAGGAGGAGGAGACCAGAAGGTCCTCATAGAGGACATTCCATAGGACCTGGGAGCTGGCTCCCTCCCCTTATCTTGAGAGGCTGGGCTCATACAAGTATGTGTTTGCTTCTCAGTGGGATGTCCTGGGGCTCCTTCTATGAACTTGGAAGTCCAACAATCACCTTGGTCCTGTTGAAGATCATCCTCAGGGGTTGGCCTACAACATGGGGCACCGATGGCTCCTGGGACTCAGTACAAGGTCTGGCTGAGACCAGGGCAGCTGTGCTCTTGGGCCTTGGTTGGTCAGTTCTGGGCCCCTGGTCTTTGCACTCCACGCTGAATACTTGACCACGTGCATTTCTTTTGGGCACAGTCCTTGGGTGATGTGCTGAGGTACCCTGAAGCTTGTGATGGAGTGCATCCTGTGCAACGGCCTTTCTGCCATCCTGCCTGAACAGTGGCTTAGGATCATCAATGACAGGTGGTTTGACCTTGTTCCTCTCTGGAGGGCAACATGCAGGAACTTGCAAAACTTTTCATGGGAGGGTTTCCAGGGAACATCTCTCTACACAGAGACTTTTTGGCAGGTGGCACTGTGGTCTCCATTCCATCTGGTAGCACCCTTTTTGTTTCCTGCAATGAACCTCAGCATCTTTGAGTGCTGTGGAGAACACAAACACAGGCAGAGTTCAGGACCACACTGACCTTCACTAGACGGGTAGTGAAGGCTTTCAGAAAAAAAAACATGGTGTTCATAGGATCAACACTCCAAAATTGAGTCTGTCTCTGGTCACATGGAAGTCAAATCTGCCAGACTGTCATGTCCCACACCAGCTATCCTAAACCTGTAGCATAGGCAAGTTCGGCATGGAGAAGTGAAGACTTACAGCCTGCCTGCAAAGTTTAGGTCAAGGATATTCTGATGACTCAAAGGTACGTGCCTGTGTCTAAGTGCTTTCTGGTAAGACCTATAGAAAACTAGTTATGTCTGGAGAGGCAGGGTGTGAGACTCCTGTGGCCACCTGGAAACAGTTAGCTTCATTACCAGGTATCTCACTCCCTATGGAGAATTGTAATCATCATACATGGGATGAGAAGCCAGTAAAACACATTTTTAGATGCCATGCCTTGAATGTGATTCTCACAATGGTTTTGGGGGTCACTATGTAGCAAACAGAGTGGCATGGAAGAAACTGGGATATGTAGGTGCCACTTAGAGTTGATAAGTGTCTGGATTTCACAAGTATCAGAAAACATCATTTGCCAGCATGAGGAAAATCTGTGGACAGACAGGAAGGTAAGATGAAAGTCTCCAGCGCAGACCATGTGTGAAACAGGCTTCAGAAAGAGGACTTGGAATCTGATATGCAAGGTCATTCCCAAGGATAATTGAGGAAGTACCTGCCCAACCTCCAGGACAGCTGGTCTACCCTGAGAACCATAGAGCGGTGGCTCACTCATCAGCATCGATCTGAATTCTGAAACAGACCAAGTAAACCCCTGGTCCAACAGATGTTTATGAAAGCCAACAGGAACAGGGGACATCGGGTGAGCAAAGAGGCAACATGGAAACATAACGACATTGATTTAGGACATGGGGAAACAGTCTTTTAGGGACAGGGTCATTGCTCTTATTCATAGTCAAGTTGATGTGTTGGGTCCTCGGGGGAAAATGGTGAAAGTTAGCCTTCCTGTGCTGCTTATTACATCCCTGGGACAGGCAGCTGTGCAGGAACATGTCAGCATTTGTCTGCAAAGGGGAGCAACTTTGTAGACCTCAGGCCCTAGTTTGTTATTTTGTGTGTGTGTGTTTGTGTGTGTGTGTATTTGCAGGGGGTAGGGATACTTTTAATCACTGTTCTATTTCCTTTGTGGTTATAGGTCTATTTATATTTTATATCTGGCCTAGATTTAATATTGGCATTTTTAACCTATCAAGAAAACTGTATTTCTTCCAATTTTGTGGAGTACAGGTTTTTGATGTAGGACCTAATGATCCACTGGACAGCCTCGGTGTATGTTATTAAGTTCCCCTTTTCATTTGTTGTTTTGGTAATTTGGATATTCTCTCTACCAAAAGCAAGTAAGGTGAGAGGTTTACTTGGGCTCAATTCATATTTCTATGACAATAGTTTGAGAGCCTTTCTGTCTCTCAACTCACTGGTATCAAGTTCACACAGATTTCCAGTTACTACTTCCCAAGTGGTACAATTAACGGCCAGTGCAACTACCACCTGGCAACAGCTTTCTTAATTTGAAACATTGCTAGAATGTTCCAATTTCAAGTCCCCAAGTTCCCATTTGGTTTGAATATGCTTGGGATGTCAGAGGCAGGGGATTATTTTGTAATGGCCATTAGCAGGCACCTGTTCTTCTATGAAGTTTAACATTATTGATTAAAACTATTCGATTTCTTTGATTTAGGGAATCTTAGCCAATATGCTCAAGGTGATGGACCCACATTCAGTGAGTCGAGATGCTTGCAGATCTGGGGCCATGGAGGCCTTCCACCACAGAGAGCCCAGAGTAAGCCAAGAGGGTCCATGGCACAGAAGGTTCCCCCACTGGAAGAAAAGAACCTTGGGTAAGTGGAGACTTGTATGTGCCTAGACCTCTAGGGTATGCAAAACATATACTGGGATTCATGACTGAATTTTTGTGCTATGGGGTGTATACCACAGAAGACATGGGCATAGGCCAATAGAAAGTTTTTATTAACAGGCTGCCAGAGTATATGCTGGGTGGTCCCTTCCCCTCTGGATCACTGAACCTTTCTCAGGATGAGGTTTTAAGCAGAAACATTTTGGGTTGACATAGTTCATTTAACAATAATAGCAGGACCTAAGTAGAAAACAAAAGTCATGGACAGTACATTCAGAGGCTATCCCAGATCATGGACTTGAATGTGTTAGGTCTTTGCTTACATATTGGTAAATGGTGTCAATGGAATGAGATTTCTGGACAGAATGGTGCTACCATCCTGCAGTCAGTTGTGCCCATAACGGGCCACTGTTGTCCCACCCTGTTAAAGTTGTCTTATTGAATGATGATCCTCACCTTAACAAAGAGGCAGGCATGGGAACTACATCTCCTGCCTATAGACGTAAAGGACAATCAGGAAGTTAGGTACAGATCCTCTTTAGCAGGACTGGTTCTTTGGGTGAGAGGGATCACTATCATCTCCCTGGCACCTCTCAAAAGACACTTGCCTCTATCAGTTTCAAAGAAACAGCCCTTTGATGATTAAACCCTTTGTATAGCATGTGTGAGTCATGTACATGTGTCTGTGTGTGCGCTCATTCTAGAGAGAACATTGAAAGGGTATTTGGACCTTTACGTGGACTGAGTCTACACAGGTCCAGGATCACTTTGTGACTCTGATACATCCTTTGGCACTCAGAGGTGAAATGCAGAGGCTGTGGAGCCTTTGGACACACCTCAAGGAGGAGGAGGCCAATCAAGTGTGTGTATATGGGTTCCTAGGGCCACAACCACTGGAAGCCAGGAAGGAGAACAAGGATCCTCACAGGACTCAGGTTTTTGGTCACTAGAGACCATAAGCCAGGCTGTGAAAGACACACAAAGCAAACTTGCCCCCACAGAAGTAAGTGATGGGCAAGCACAAGAGTATGGGGCTGAAAACAGAAGGTTCCAGATGTAGCAAAGCTCATCAGCATACCATATCTCCTCATACAGCCTCAAAACACTGCAAAATGGGCCAGAGATCTAGGAAGTAGTTTCCTCTTTGGAGACAAAACCTGACCTGTCTCTTCTCCATTGTCTGTCCCACAGGTGTATGAACATAAAAGGAAGACACTCATAAATTTGCCATTGAAGGTTTAAGGAAGGACCAAAACATCAGCTAGGCGGTAAGTAAAAAATTTTGATCCTGACCATAGAAATACCTGAGACTTGCAACATTGTCCCTTTTTCTACCATGTTGCATCTTTGCTCATGTTATGTCCCCTGTGTCGGGCAGCTTTCATAAATATCTCAAATATTTCGGTTGCAGCAAGGGTTCATTTGGTCACTCTAAGATTAGATTGACTTGGGTTTGAGTAAGCATCTTCTATGGGGTTACCAGTATGGTAGACGAGTTGACGTAGAGGATGTAGATGCTTTCTGTCACTACCCTTGAGCATGACCTTAGATTTAGGACTCCAGGACCTCCATCTCACGGAGATCAGACAAAAAACATGGTCTACCTTCCTGTCCACAGATTTTGCTCTGGCCATCAAAGCACTGGGCTTTTGTTTTGTTTTTCTTGGTTATTATGGTTTTGGGTTTTTTTCTATTACATTTGGAATCAAGACAATGATCAGAAAACTCGATGTGGCATCTACATATCCTAATCTCTTCCATTCCAATCTGTTGCTTACAGAGAGTAGCCCCCAAAACCATTGTGAGATTCAGGTTCAAGGCCAGGGCATCTATAAACGCATTTTCCTGGCTTCACATCCCATGGGAGATTATTACAATTCTCCATAGAGTGTGAGATACTTTGTAATCTGAAGCTGTTTCCACCCGGCCACAGTAGGCTCACACCCTTCTTCCTGTCTGTCTCCCCAAACATCACTATTTTGTTTTCTATGTCTTGACAGAAACACAAGGACACATGCACATACATTGACTCATCAGTGTGAGCCCAGCTTTACTTTTTGTGGAAGCTTTAACTCATCACTTGTCCACACTCAACCTGCCCATCCTGTAGGTTTTGGATAGCTGGTGTAGGCCATGACAGCCTTGCAGATTTGACTTCCATGGGTCCCAAGACAGACTCATCTCTGGAGTGTAGATCCTATGAGCTCCATGTGTTCTTTGCAAAGCTTTCCCTGCCATTCCATGCTCACTGTATGGTCCTGAACTCTGCCTGTGTTTGTCGTCTCTACAGCACCCAAAGAGGCCTGGATTCATTGCGGGAAGCAGAAAAAGGGTGCTACCAGACAGATTGGAGACCACCATGCCAACTGCCAAAAAGTCTCCCTTGGAGGACAGACATATCCTGGAAACCATCCAATCAAAATCTTTGCAGTCTCCCGTATCTTACCCTCCAGGCAGAAGGGAAGGTCAAACCATGGCAGTCACTGGTGTCCCCAAGACAGTGTTCATGCAGGATAGCAAATCGCAGTTGTACAGGATACACTGAATCAGAAGCCGCCGGGTACACCAGCACATCACCCCAGGGCTGTGCCCAACAGAAATGCATGGGGTCAAGCATTCAGCCTGGAGCCCAAAGACTAGGGGCCTAGAAATGACCAACCAAGACTCCACAGCCGAACTGCCCTGGTTTCAGTCAGCCCTTGAACTGAGTCCCAGGAGCCCTCAGCTTCCCATGTTGCAGGGCAACCCCTGAGGATGATCTTCACCAGCACCCAAAGGGATTGTTGCACTTCCAGGTTCATGGAAGGAGCCCCAGGATTTCCCCATGAGAAGCAAAAAGCTCCTCCAGACAGCACTGCTTCTCAAGAGAAAGGGGAGGGGCTCGCTCCCAGGTCCCATGGAGTGGCCTCAATGAGGAGCTTATGGTCTGCTCCTCCTCAGAGGACAGTGATGAGGAAGTGAGCCTTCACCTGGAGAGAAGATGGCTGCCCCCCTGCTGTGACTTCCCAGATCCTTCAGGGTTCCAACAGGATAGACTTCTGCAGAGTGAAAATAATCGCAGTGGATTACTGGGTACCTCTACAGAATGCACTGGGTAGGTAACTGAAATCTGTCAGGTTCGTGTCCAAACAGCTGTAACACTGAAAACTCTTAAGGCTGGAATCACAAATCCACGCGAGTCGAATCACCTCTGTCTGGACGCGGGACACTGAGAAGAATTCTGAAGGACCCTCATCTGTAGTCTCCCTTTCCGTGATCATTGACCTGCAGTTGATTCTTTCATTAAGCCCAGGGTTCATAACTACCTTCCCTATGCCGTACTGTATGATGGTTTCAACCTGTGCCGTTAAAATTGTTCTCAAATCATGACAGTGTGAGGGCTTTCTTTTGCTGGGGACATGGGGTTTTTTTACACTACCAGCGTTTCAAGAGCAATGGACAAACCCAAGTGGCATCACCCTACCTCACCAGGGGTACCATACACACACTCTGCACACCCACCTCCACTTCACGATATTAAGACTACTGACAGTTAGGACAGCCTGCAGGGCTCCCTTTCCAAGCTTTTGCTGTGGCCCTAAAGGCTTTGACCTGCTTGACATTGAGGAATCAATGAATACCCACAATAAGTTATGGAACCTTGGCCCATCAAGTCCCAGGCCTACAGGGGATCGTGTACTTACCCTTACTAAGGGTTGGCCTTCCATCTCAGTAATGAGAATGTTCAATAACACAGTAGCAGCACAGGTGTGGTCACACACACACTCAGACATACAGAAAGAGACAAAGAGTGATGTATGTCCTGACAGGCCATGATAGGCCAGTGGTACACCTTGTCAGAGGAGTGCCTCAGTTTCAGGGATCCCTTGACTACTTCTTGGGCTCCAATACAATGTTTCCCCCATGGTCAGGCATTTTCCTGCCACTATACCTCTACTGAAACATAGTATGGGTTCCACCTTTGAGAGCAGTACATTACAAACCATTGCAGAGATTCTCTACACTGACTTTGCCTTAGGGCTCATCCTGGCAACACCCACTCTAATACCTGCGTGTGGTATTTTTCTGGGGCTTATGTTCTTGTGACCCTCTCTCACACACTGGAAGTTCAAAAGCTTGGATCCCCATCCTGGCTAGTAGGCTTCAGTGATTTGTCTGTCTTGACCCAACTGTGCTGGGTGAAGGCCATCTTGATGGAGGTTTTTTTGCTAAGCAATATGGGTTTGGGTAACACTGTTTGGACACCCCCTGATACACACTCCTCTCTGGGATCATGACCCCACTTCTCCCTGGGAGTTGCATATGCACTGTGCTCCCCCTGAGCTCTCACTGAAATCCATGTGTTGTAGACTAACTCTTTTATTCTCTTCCAATTGTGGTCTTTTGCTTCACATTCCACACTTCTCTTCTCTGGCTGGTGGAAGAGTCCTCTGGTGGCCATCTTTGTGATAGTTTTAGTTTCTGTGTGCCACATGTAGGGCCTGATTGCCACTTGTCCCCATTCTGTGGACTCCCTATGCTCAAAAGTCAGTTACCTGGAGTCCACATTGATGGAGATGGCCTTCCTACTTCTAAATCTGATGAGGCAGAACTGTTGTAATCCATGGCCTTTGAGGCCAGTTTTTCTGCTCAGACCATCATCTTCAGTGCCTTGGAGAGAAAGGCACAGTGCTGAACAGCTCCAAGCATCCCAGTCAGAGTGCAAGCCCACGGTCACTGTGGGTCACAATAGAACTCACCCCTCAGACACACACACAAAAGGAGCATTTGATTGTCATTGGCTGCCTACACATCCACCTAGTCCCTTTGTATTGGGAGGAGGGAGGACTGCTGAAGGGATCAGGACAATGCAGAGCTCAAAGTGAATTCTTGAAGCCTGGCCAAGGATCTGATGACAATCACCAGGCCCTTCATATCCATTTTCTAGTCCTTCTAAACAAGGCTGTGTCAGTGCATCTCTCTGTCTCTCTGTCTCTATCTCTGTGTGCGTGCGTGCGTGTGTTTGTGTGTGTGTGTGTGTGTGTGTCTTTTGCTCTCACAATGTCTGTATGAGAGGGTGTGTAGAGGGAATGTGTTGTGTGTGTGTGTTTGTTTGTGAAAGAAAGAGAGGTAGACACACACAGAGAAAGAGAAAGAGGGGGGGATAGAGTTTGCCACTCTTGCCCTATTTCTACTCTCCACTCCCCATTACCCTCTGCCTCCTGGATTGTCAATTTGTGTCCCTGATTGACAGCAATATAAAAGTGATACACTCAGTAATTTGGCAATTCTTTGGGGCATAGCTCTTTGTGCTTTGGTTTCAGTTTATCAGAAATCCTGTCCCCTCTACCTTGTTCTTTATGAATACTGAGGAAATGCACTCTAGGTTAAAGTTCATGTTGAGTTTTAAGGATGTGTTCCTGTTATACTCATTGAATTAAAGGCAAGGATTAAATATCAAGGTGGCCAGAGTGAGTACTTTAAGTATGGGCGAGTCCTACACTTTTCCATATTCATATTTTTGAAGCTTCTTAACTGACTCTTTTGGATTGGAATATCATGCACTACCTTATCTCCCTAAATTATGACAAATATCCATAACCCATTGAATGACAAAAAAAGACACATCCTTCTCTCTTGGGCCAATGATGACATATTTAGGGCATCCTGGAAGAACTCTTTCTTTGGGTTAACTCTCAAGCTGTACCACTTGTTGTCCAGTCTCTGTGTAACTGTAAAGTACAAAACTTGTCTCAAGTCCTGTGAGGCTGGATCATCTCAACAGACCTCCTGGAAATGTTTTCTTCAGCAGTGTCTCTGAGGCTGGACCATCTCTGGTAATCCCTGTTCAATTAATGAGTAAAGCTGGCTTTGAATTCGTGTGTGGCTCTTGCCTTCTGTAACCGATGCATGCTTGCTAGCAAACATCAAAAATTCTCTATCTAATGTCAGAAGAGCCACCAGACAGAAAAAAGAAAAACTAATTTTAGGGACCTTTTTATTTCTACTGAAATGCCTTGAGGAATCTATGGAAACCCGCTATTCCAAAACCGGCTCACTTCTTCCTGCCTCTATGGAGGAATCCCTTTCCAAGAACAGTAAAATAACTTAATGCATATGTAAAATTCCTTATTGTTCAGGAGGAAAGAAGAGATTTATAAGCAGAAACAAATATTTAGAGGAGCCAGAGATCAAATTTCATAAGCATTTTGTTAGGCACCTCCCCAAAGTTAGTGTTGGCAAATTTTTCGTTTTTTGCTTTTTGTTTTCTTCCTAGGAAAATAAAATA